GGTTCCCAGAGCAAATGTGCTTGCTATTTTGAGAAATTTTATGGCCTAGTGGATTAAAGTTAGGAACAAATATTACTTACCTGGTTTCCATGTCCAGTATAGTGGAGATGCAAATAACAGCTAACCATTATTTAAGTCAAACCAGATAAATTAGTTCACTCTAGCATAGTTCTTTAAAACCATGCTTGAACCTATTTTTGAGAATCTTTCTCCTAGGGGCAAGAGGATCTTGGTCCTTCATAGCTTCAGAGAAGCATGAGGAGCTTGAGACTCTAACAATACCTTTGACATAGTTATCTTGGCCAATGCACTTGGCTAGAGAGGTCCTCGTATCACGAATGGCGTGCTTAAATAAAGGCTACCCAGACAAAATTTCTACTCAGCAAAGAGGTCACTCAAATTCATTGCATTGACAGGAGAGATGGAATAAATCTCGTAACATAAAAAAGTGTAAAGTGTTCAGGCAACAAAAAATTAATTCCAAAAAAAACCAACACACTTAGGCTCATCATGCTATGTTAGAGGAACTGGACCTACAGATGAGAAGATTATTTAACATTCTCCATGACCTCAGGACCAAAGAAGCTGAAAAGATGTCATTTAGCTGATCACCATAAAATTAAGGAGAGCAAACACTTCACTTTCAGTTTAAGCTAATGAGTATTTTCTTTCTCCTGGAAACAAATTATATCAAAATAGCAACTGTTCTTGATCTTTCTTTTCTGGGGTATTAATTACCCATATCTTTGGAGTCGAGAAGAAAAAAGATAATGCATTTTCATTTTGTGGTAATTACTCAGATTACACCATGCAGGGGACCAAGCAACGGATAATATTTGTGTGGTTTAGTGAAGGCAAATATTTATCTTCTATAGAGGTGTTGTGGTTAAGCAGATCATATGCTTTTTACACAAATCCCATTTCATCTCCACTTCTTGATCTACAATTTTTGCCTGGTGTGGAATCAGAGTGTCAATTCTAAGCCTCAGTTTGTAATTTGTTAAAGTCAGGAGTGTTAAAATATCTACATTTATATACCTACACATATGCACTTCAGAATTTATATATAAAATTTATATATATATATACATCATTTATGTCTATTCATCAGATTTCTACATCTGAAGATAGATAATGATAAGAATTACTACAATTGATCATTTCTTCACCCTTTACATTTACATGTCCGTATCCATGTCTACTATTTAGACCCAGTGGAAGTACTGTGTACAGGATATATATTGAAAAGCATGCTTATTTGTTTGTGTTTTCAAGCTAGATGGTTTTGGGAACTTAATCTCCCTCATCACTATTGATCAAAGTGAAAAGCCTTCCTCCTCCTCCTGAATGGCTGATTTCTTAAAATTACAAGTTGATGCTTCATGGCAGTCCAGAATATGGCTTATCTTTCACATCACTGTCATCACTGCTGAAACACATCACCCACCACCTCACTGTGCTCAAATCTATTTGGTCTCCACAAATGTTCAACCTCTACTGCCATACAGTCCACACCCACCTCCAAGATTGTTGGCCGACATATTTAAGTAGGAGGCATTGCTTTAGGAGCAACCATTCTATATTCTTCATCTGCCAAGACAAACTGCATCTGAAATTTTCATTTTTTTTCTTAACATTGTCATATCATTATATATCATATCATTATCATTATCACTATAGTATCCTACTGATGGTAAATAAAAAAGAAAATGGTATAAGGAAACAAATAAGGGCTTCCAACTGTTGTGTTTCTTAGGCATTTTTCAGCCTACAAGTAGGAATAGTGTTCAGTTCTCAGATAAAAGAGTAAAAGAGTAAAAAGAGTAAAATCGTGAGTTGCAAAATGTGAGTGTAACTTACCAATCTTATTTTGATTCTCAAAGATTGAGAAGCTGTTGATACATGGATGACAAATATCAATACAACTTTATTGCAGATGCTAGGAACATCAGAGTAACTGCATTTGGTGGAGGGTTATATTTATTTATTTATGTATTTATTTTCAACAAATAAGCAGATAAAAAGAGGAACAATAATATGCTAGTGTAAAGGAAATGAGTGTTAGAATAGAGCACTTAACCATTAGGAATGAAAGTGTTTATAAATTAGTCCTGACAAAGGGGACTCAAAAGCAGTTTAGTGAATAGAGAAGGGGGTTTATGTCGGTCTGGAAGCAATAGAAAAGGTAAGGAAAGGTGACTGCATTTAATAAGCTCAGTGGCTGAACTACAGCACAGTAAATGAGGTTCAGTGATGATAAATACATGACAGAAGATGCTGGAAAAAAGAAAGAAAGAAAAAAAAAGCTGATATAATTTGCTCAAGTTTTTTCAGTTAAACACACCAGTAGCATGGATATAATTCCAGACAGGTTTGTGAGGATGTGCTTAGTGTTCAGTAGAGCAAAGACAGAAGAAGATTAAACAATGAAATTTACACTGATTTACAAAATAATATAAGGCAATTATATTAGAACATTATACAGGCCATCTATTTGTGTGGTGTGATTTCATCTGGAATTATGCATGCTAAAAAATGACTTTGTCTTGAGTAAGATAATGATGAAGTAGAGGAGGATCAGGGAAGGAAAAATAACTGCTGTGATACATTTAAAAAAAAATAAAAAATCCACAGAGAACCAGAGATCTTCAACAAAATACTGAAGGGAAAAAAAGAGAGTTCTTAGCTTTAGAGAGAAATAATATGAATAAAGATCCAATGAGTAAACCCAATATGTAGATGGAAAATTGTTCTTGTCTCTTGAGACACAAAAGCATGATGGAGGCCATCAGAGGTGAATTAAAAGGTATCAACTTCAAAACTGATAAAAGAAAATGCAGTTTTCACAAAGTTAATTGAACTGTAGAAGACATAATTGCACTGTAATTCTCAGGTCAAGGATGACCTTGAGACTGCAAAATTTCGTAAGGTATAAGGAAGAATAGATATTTCTAGGCATGCCAGCAATATTCTAAATTGTGGTAATTAATGTTAAGATAAACAGTATAAGGGATGAGGAAAAACACGCACCTGTAGTTCTCTGTTGAGAAGGAGACTTAATAGAGGAAGCAGATTACTTCATACTTAGGGGAGCAACTACTTTGTTATTTCTACAGAAATACTTAATTCTGGCCATTGTTGCCAGTCTACAGATTGGGAATTCTTTACTTCTCTAGTTCTATGAGTACAAATAGCACCAAAGACTTCGAAAGGAATTCCAGCTGTAAAGCAGAAGAAGTAAACATTGTAGAGACAACAAATACGAAACTCGGTTTGAAGAGCAAAGGAAACAAATTCAAGATGTATTTCTAAAGCTACTTCTACAGAGAACAATGGAATGTGATGCACAAATGTCCAGGCTGACCCTTAGAGATGTGATACATCACACAGTGATCTGCAGTGACCGGGGAGATACCAGTTCAGGTACTGAAAGCAGAGATTTTCAACAGCATGGAGTTTTACCTAAGCCAGTAAGTCTTGCTCCATATGGGAGCTAATTAGACAATATCATGTCTAATTATAGAAGCACTTCTGTCTCTGAAGGTGCAGGACTCTGTGCAGTGCAAAGCCCTGGTGAGTGTGTCTCGTGTTATTACCAATGGATGAAAGGAGAAGCATAGGACAGAGCAGTATTGTTCCTTATCACAATGAGTTTTGTTTGCCCCAGCATACATAACAAATGGAATTTCCTTCATTCTGATTCTAATCAGCACTTCATTAGACACTAAGAAGGAGAAGGTGATATCCATGATTGTTAATTGAATGTTCCTGTTATATCTGCTTTAAAATAACTTTATTATTATTGTTAATATTTGAATTCTCACCTCAGCTGAGTATGTGTCACAACCTTAAACCACTTAATGAAGTTTTATGTTCTTGTCCTGTAACAGTCACTGCTCCATTAAGTGTAACTAGACACAAAGTAGAACAGTTTCAGGAGTAAGAAGAGAAAATGAGCATCCCAAGGCAAAATTATCACTGGGAACATAGAGTGTGAACTGCAACTCCTGTACCTCCAGAAGGATTGTATTCATTTTCCGGTTTTAGTTTTTTATCAGGATTGATTCAAGCTGCCTACAGGAGTAGAGTGTTATATATATACATATATATACATGTATACATATGTTCCCTATATAGATCTATATATAGGGAAGCAGAATTTAGCAATTCTGTATCAAGATTCCTATGCTTTGGAATACAGTCATTCACTACGTATGTGTTTAGGTGAGTAGTACCAGTACTAGAGTGACTTTGAACAAGCTTTATGGCAGAATCACCAGTACCTGGGGGAAGTGCCTAGAGGGATATCCTGAAGGAGACCTTGGTTCATGTGTTTGAAGGGCCTAAAGAGCAGCCAGAGCCCTTGACTCCATGCTGGTGAAGATGCATTCATGAATCTCTTCATAAAGTAATATTTGTGTGAAAATATTTCCCACGGAATGGTGGCCCTCTTTAAATCTCTCCACTAATCCAATAGTCCTTGGTGCTCCTCTGGAGTTCCAGGAGCTCTGACAAGGATCTAACTTCCCTGAGAAAAGCTGACATTTGAAATGCCCCCGTCTTTTCCCATGTAATTAAAATAAAAGAAGCACATAACTTGCCTAACACCTGCCTTCCTATGACCAGAATTTAGCCCTGTATATAATGAAAGTAAAGTGAGTAGGTTTCTAGTGGCTGCAAACCTGTGCAGAAAAGTTCCACAGGCATTTTTGCAATAGCATAGCTATTTGCTTGAAGCCTGGATGAAAATGACTTATTCATAATCTTGAGTTTCATATTACTCTGTTCTTCATGGTGTGTTCGAGCTTCCCTTACACTTGTAAAGCATATGATGAAATCTACGTGCGTGTGAGCTCACAGACACACCAACAAGCACACAGGCACACCAACAGGCACACAGACACGGACACGCCAACAGACGCATCCAGCGGCGGGCCGGCTGCTCTCCAGGGTGCTGCATGAGGCTGCCCCGCGCTCCTTCGGAGATTCCCTTTATTTTGTTTTTGTTTTCCCAATCACTTCAAGCTAAACTGGCCCGAGGTTTGGGTCAAGGATGTTCTTTTCTTCTGTGTGCAACTTTTAAAAAAAAAAACTTTTCTGCGATAGAGCCCCCCCCCCCCCTCTACAGACACACAAACACTTTGGAGATCGCTCAATTCAACTCTCGGTCTTTTTAGAGCCTTATTTTACAACTATAATACATATCCTTTTATAAACATAAACATACAAGTGCTTGGTTCCTTTTTCACATTGTTTAACACCCAGATCACATCAATCAAGGCCATATATCTTTTAGTAGTTTCTTCTTTGCTTTCTCCTGAAAGTCACACTTCTGTCGGCACTCAGATGTATTTCTGTCAGCAGTGAACATATGCTCTACTGGGAGTCTTCATTTTTAGTAGCTGTCTTTCCAAGACTGGACAAAGACTACAAAGGTTATCACCAAATATATTTTGTAGATTGCTCTGAAACAGCTTTCAGATCTGTCCCACTCTATAGTTACTCACTCACCTGGAACCCTGCAACATTTGCAAATAACAATTAGTCCTACACACAAAAGTGCAGATCTGCATTTTCTGGGGCTTTAACGGTAGACAAACTAAGTGCATGTTTGCATTAAAAATGCCTCCTCAGCTTTACAGTGCCTAGCGGGATGTTCTTCTAGATACTGTGTTTATCCTTAATAAAACAGTAGGTTTGACTTTCCAGTTCACCACATATCTGCTCTGCACGAGAGGAGATCAGTTTGGCTTTGAACATTAGACTGATCCTCGTCGCAGCCTGCTGGGAGTTTCGATTTCATCAGTGTGGTCTGTTTTAAATAATTCTTTGTACGTCCAGCTTTTAGACTCAAAGGGATCCAGAAAATCCCATATTCATGTAGAGAAAAGGGAAATAAAAGTTAGGTAGTTTTTGTTAGCATGGCAGTGTTTAATGTTGCTGGCCAGTAAAAACAATGCATCTCTTTGCTGTCTGTGATGAAGGGCTCAGGGCTTTCACCAGGGGAGGAGAAATCAAGAAGCTCCTTTATCCTTAGCACTATCAAACTGGAAGATGAGATATGTCAGTACTTCAGTGCCATCCCTCATCAGATTCTGTTTTATAATGCTTTTATGAACACACTACTCTGGGCATAGTTAAGTGATTACATGTCCTCTTCTGTTAAAGGTTTGACCATACATTTGTTTAACTCATTTAATATCCGATGGTAAATGTCTATTAATGTTTTATTTGCATGGAGCCTTGTTTGTTATCTTGTTCTGTATTTGTTACTTCTTTTCTTCTCACTCTCTGTGTTTCATACTGCTAGTATTATTTTCTGGTTCATTGTCTCATTCTCTCCAGTATTTTATATATATTTTATATACCTGGCATCTGTCAAATGCCTGACTCCCTCGTGTACAAAATCATTAAAGTCATCTGTCTGGTATAATGCGTAAATGAGTGTGCAAGCCCCAGAGAGGACTAAATATCAGTGGAAGAGTGTGACAGATCCTTTCAGCACAGTAGGGGATCAAGGGCAGGGTTTGGGGCAGCATTCTCAGGCACCCAGCTCTGCCAGGAGTGATGTACCCACCTGTGCTAGGTGAGCCCTGAGTCCCCAGCTCTTGCTTTTCACCTATACTAACCTTAGGGCAAATTCTCATTTTCATGAACCTCCAACAGAGAGATTAAGGCTTCTAATTTGTCTTCCCAGTCCCAAGGACCAAAAATAAGTTCAAAATCTTCAAGGAGAGAGGTGTCCTGAATACACATGGTGCTGGGATGGAAAAGAAGATAGCAGAAGGGATGCTTTCCTTTGCCTCTGTACCACATGGAGATTGGAAAGGAAGGAAAGGAAGCCAGAACTGTCTTCTGGGGCCTGCCCTTCCCTCATAACCCCTTATCCAACCCTCCAGCAAGGGGGTGAAACAGGCATTGAGGTTGCTGAGGAAGGCCTCCATGTCGTGAGAGCGCTGGGAGGACTTGGCATTTTACCCCAAGCCCATTGGTAACTTTGATGGCCTTTGAGAGGACCTTTATCCCTGCAGATGTTTCTATTGACCCTGGGTGCATATGGGGGCTGAAAAGAAGAGGTACCACAACCCTGAGCATAATAGAAAAGATCACCATGGAAGTGGTCCACAGAGAAATCCGTCCTCCCTGTCTGCCCTTTGACCACCCAAGCTATAAAACACTCAGGGCTTGTATTCTCAGACCTCACCCTAACAGGGTAGCTCTGTGCCAGAGACAAGCAGATATCTGGGAGATGTGAAGATAAAGGCAGGAAACAGCCTGGCTACTTCTCACTAGAGATCAATTGGCAGCACTGGATATGGAAATAATTTCTTTTGGAAATCTCCTCGATGAAAGTTGTTGTCTCGGCTTCCTCCCCCAAGGAGCATCTCTCAATTCCTCTGCAAGAGGTGAAAATCATCGTTGGTAAATATTCTCATCCTCGTGATTTTTTTTGTTTTTTTGTTTGTTTGTTTGTTTGTTTTGTTCTATGAGTGAAGGGGCTAAGCAGTTTGTTCTGTGATTTTCCAGTGGATTTGTCTATACAGATGCTTAGCACAATGTAGATGCACATAAATGGGGTGGGGTGTTCATTTTAAATGTCCTAAGCTTAGGAGCAAATTCTTTTTTCCCCTTAGGAGGTGTGTCTAACACGTAGCGCTTAAAAGAGAAGAGCTGCTAATAACAGTGTCTCTGTCAAACTCAAAATGCGCTGCTTACCACGGAGTTGCCGGGTGCCATCAAGATGTAGTGGCTGAGATGATTACGAGCACGGCTCCGCGGACACAGGAAGGCAGCTTTGCACACACAGCGCTTTTCCAGGAGAGCTGAAATCTTTCTTCTCCCCGGGCGGGCTGCAGAAAATGCAAGGAAGGGGGTCTATGGTAGGCTTTCCATTATCGACCTTTTCTTTCGTTGGGAAATCACAGTGCGGGGATAGGTATGGGGAGGGGAGATGCTCCCAGGCGTGGGAGACTTGCGTGAAGGGAATGCCCTGCCGTTCTGCAGCCGAGAGCCCGCACGGCGCCAAGCAGCGCGGCATTGGGGAGCCCCCTGCAGCCGGGTAGAGCCGCGCCGAGCCACAGCCACCTCCTGGCTGGCTGCGCCGTGGAAAGCAGCGATCTGCTGGAGGCGGGCAAGGCCGAGGCTTGGGCCCCTTTCCTGCCAAGGGAGGGATATCCCCAAAGGACGCTGCCAAGGTGCTTGTGCTGTTGCAGAGTGGTCTTGCCCCCTCCCTCCTCCTTGCTTTGGAAAGGGCTGACCCGTGCAGGCTGTTACTGAACTCTAATTAAATCTCTGGAAATCAGTGTGCTCAATCAAACACTCACAACGTTCCTGGGAGGGAAAAATAATAATAATAATAAGGGGAAAAGGGGGCAGGCATTGCCCCTTTTAAAGCTGATGATGATCTTGACTAATGAATGCTGAAATATTCATTCGAGTGCCAAGCTCTCAGTCTTCATGGGAGGGTCAGCTTTGGGGTGGCTGTTCCCTGTCCCAAAGGAGCAGCCCTACAGGGCCACAACATGTCCACAGCTTGCTTCAAACCTTCCAGTGTCAAATCAGATATCCTTTTCTGGCAACTCATCTGACGTAGCTGGACAGCTATCTATTAACTCTACTGTGAAATCCAGGCAAAAATTCCTACATGTTCAGGAAAAAAAAAAAAAAAAAAAAAAAAAAAAAGGCTTTCAGGCCAGAACCCAACTGACCTGATGCTCCTAAAGAGTCACAGGTGATCCAACAATTCAACAATTACACCTTGTGAAAGTGCTTCAGGTAGAGAAACACTTGTGTAACACTGAAACATGAATGCCTTCAAATCTCAGAGCTTTCTGCCTGTGGGTGAGTCAGGCCAGAGCAGGAGATGCACTCATCCCAGGGCCCAGCAGAGAATTCCAGAATCCTGGTACCTTTTGGAGGGTAAAACCAATTGTGAGATCTATCCAGGAAAAACAGCTAAATGTCTGCAAGTACTCTAGGCAGCTTCTCTGCTCAGAGCTAACCCATTAGAAGAAATAACTTCTTCAAAGTGAAGGGGGGAGGCTGGAGAGGAGAGGAGAGGAGAGGAGAGGAGAGGAGAGGAGAGGAGAGG